TATATATATATATATAGGGTGATCTATTTTAATCCATCCAGTAGAATATCTTAAAATCTTTAAGTTTAAGACAAAAATGTTTCAAAAATTGCTCAAAGAGCAAAGGAAATGGTGACAGTGATTGATTTTAAGAAGATGTCCTTAAATCGGCGAAACCAATCTCTGCACGTTGTTTCCGATAAAGCATTGTCGCCATAGGCCTCCACAAGCATTCGATGCAGCCGGTTTCTTCAAATTGAAATAGAAAAGCAAAGCTTCCCGCATATGCTTTTTTTTTAGCAAAAAACTAGACATGATTACGAAAGAAAAAATGTATGTTGTTGTATGAAATTGCTGATGATGTGCACTGGTTAATTTGATAGATGTCAAACACATAAAAAAAAGTGTGTCAGGGTAGCTTTGTACGCTCACTAATGCCACCTATGAGCAAACAGCGGATTTAAGCTTATACACTGTATTTTGTACGAAAATATTATAAAATGGAGATACAAGGAAACCAATAATTTACGAGGTACTTTATATTTTATTCTGGCACATATTGATAATAAATTAAATCTCAACAAATTAAATAACTACTTTAAAGTAGAAAGCAGAAAGAAACTTCCACATATGCATACTGATGTAGTTCATAAAATTGAATGTAAGGACTGTGATGCATCATACTTAGATCAAACGGGAATCCTCAAAGCTAGAATTAGAGCATAGAAATCATATCAATCGAAATACAGACCAAAAGTTAATTATCACAAATAAAACAAATAATACAAAAAAAATCATAGAACACAGCCTAGACCAATCACATGAATTTGACTGAGACAAGATATTAGATCAAGAAAAAAATATTAAACAAAAGACTCATATCAAAAATGATTTTCATTTGCAAAGAAAAATAGTTTAAATATACAATCAAATACGGATTCATTAAACGAAGCATATGACTTTTTATTTGAAAATAATGATGGAGCAAAACGAATTTGAATTCAGCGATCCAAAATCTATAAGAAACATCTATTTAAATTGCTCTTCAAACAATTTTTTTGTTCTATATTATAAAAAAATTAATAGTTTACGAGATATTTATTATTTCAGTCCTTAAGTTGATGCCTTTTGGAGCCAATCATAGGATGTCGATGTATAATAAGATTTATTTGTTCCAATATCTTATACAAATGTTTCGATCTAGCTTCGGATCCTTTTCAATGCTACTTGAAGGAACTCATTGAGTTTTCTGATGCACTATACAATGATAATCGATAGCTCATTGGTAATAATTATAAAATAATGTGTTGATAAAAATAACAATATAATAATATTAAAGTTGTGAATTATTAATTTGAAAAACTTGGGAAAAGAGTAAATATAAAAATTACATTAAAATGCGGTCGCAGAGCAAAGTGTAAGAAACAACAATTTTGTTTTATTAATGTTGACTATTATAACCTATATACACGTCTCTCAAGTATTGGCGCTTAAGTTGCGCGGTGCGGAGCGCTTACCTAAGTTATCCTCCTCTACATGTCATAGCGTGCCGACGTAAAAGATAAGTCGATTCTCAGATATAGAGCGATATAAAGTAAGTGTAATTTTTGAAGCTTATCTTCCAAAAATTGCAAATCATAACTCGAAATTTTAGATCTTTTTGAAATTCATGCTAATAAACTTCTTGCTCAATTCTATGTCTATCTAATTTATCTTACTTAATTTATCTTCCTACAGTAATAATTAAAATATTCATTTCTGCAGCTGAAAAATGATTTCTTTCATGATTCACATAGTTCGCTGTTTGCTCATAGGTGGCATTAGCCAGCATACAAAGCTACCCTGGGTACAACACACTTTTTTTTATGTGTTGGACATCTGTCAACATTAATCAGTGCACATCATCAGCAATTTCATACAACAACATACATTTTTTTCTTTCGTAATCATATCTAGTTTTTTGCTAAAAAAAAGCATATGCGGGAAGCTTTGCTTTTCTGTTTCAATTTGAAGAGTTGGCTGTCGAATCGCATCGAATGCTTGTGAAGGCCTATGGCGACAATGCTTTATCGGAAACAACGTGCAGAGATTAGTTTCGCCGGTTCTATGACGACAATTTTGTCGTTGACGACCTGAGTGAAAAGAAGCATGAAAATCGGCCCAGGAAGATTGAGGACTGTCAATTGCAGGCTCTTTTGGACGAGGACGATACCCAATCGCAAAAAATGCTTGCCGAGGATGAGGAATTGGGTGTTTCTCAAGAAGCCATTTCCATGCGGTTACATGCCATGGGGAAGGTTCAAAAGATCGGAAAATGGATGTCGCATGAACTGAACGATAGGCAGATGGAGCGACGCCAAAATACATGCCAAATTCTGCTTGCCAGACAAAAAAGAAAGTCGTTCCTGCATCGGATTGTGACAGGCGATGAAAAGTGGATCTATTTTCAGAATCCTAAACGCAAGAAATCTTGGGTTGATCCCGTCCAATCATCAACATTTTCCTCAAGACCAAATCGCTTCGGACGGAAGACGATGCTGTGCGTTTAGTGGGATCAGGAGAGTGTCATCTACTACGAGCTGTTAAAACCTGGTGAAACTGTTAATGCTCACCGCTACCATTAACAACTGATCAAATTGCACCGTGTTCTGCGTGAAAAAAGGTCGCTTTATCGGAAAAGACATGACAAGCTGATTTTCCTCCACGATAACGCACCATCATACACGTCAACAATGGTCCAAAACTACTTGGAGACACTCAACTGGGAAGTGCTGTCCCATCCCATTACTTATCAGATCTGCACCTTCTGACTATCACCTGTTTTTGTCGATGGGCCACGCGCTCGCTGAGCGGCACTTCGATTCTTACGAAGATGTCCGAAAATGGTTGAGTGGTTTGTCTCGAAAGATGAGGAATTTTTTTTGGCATGGTATACACAAATTGCCCGAAAGATGGGAAAAATGTATAGTTAGCGAGAGCAAGTACTTTGAATAAATTTGTTTTTGCTTCCTAGGAAAAAAAATTTTTTTTCTGACTAAAAAACAGCGGATTTAAGCTTATAATAACATTAATATAATAACATTAATAAAGCAAAATTTTTTTTTTATACGTTAACTTCTAACTATCAAAATGCATTTAAATCAGTTCTGTGATCGCATTTTAATGTCATATTTACTTGTACTCTTCCCCCGATTTTTTTATTTTAATTTTCATAGATTTTTTATCATTTTTCTCATTGATTCGATCGACTAAAAAATTAAACATGATGTAGTAAAATGAATTTACAAATTCAATTTACGATCCAAAATCTATAAGAAAAATCTACTCTGGTTTGAGTTGCTCTTAAAAAAATTTTTTGGTTCTGTGTAATTGTTCCTTAATACTTTATAAACAAAATGGGATAAATCAATTGACATAAAGAAAATATATAGTTGTTAAAAAAAATAAGCAGTGTTTTAAAAAAATATGTAGTCAAAATGGATAATTTTTAAAATAAACAACTATGTATCTTCTTTGCCCCAACTGATTCAACCATCTCATTATTCTATTCATAAAAATATTAAAATACGGTTATCAAAAAATTAATAGTTTACGAGATATTTTATTCTTTATTCTTGCACATATTGACATGAAATATTAAATATCCTTGGAAGTAACTCGTTACTTGTGTTACAATTACAAGTTACTTTTTTTGGTAATTTATTGGTAACTGAGTTACTTTTTTTTAACTGTAATGCTATTTATATTTTTTTGGTAATGGTAATGGTTGGAATTTTACAATTACTTTTATCGTTACTTTGGCTATCTTGATGCTTCGAAGCGTTTTTTGATTAATCAATTAGTAAAATTTTTTCTTTCGATTGGTCAGTCGAAAGCTTCGAAGTATATTTGTAACGCTAAGTGGATCGCACTCTTTATATTTTCGATTGGATGTGATTCGTTGGACACAAACCAAGTCACAGCGCTTGATATTAGAAAGTCCCTAGTCCCTATCTCTATCTTAATACTTATATCACAATACTTTTATCACAAATATATTTATATCACAATGATTAGAGGAATAATATTATATATAAAAAAATATATAATTCCATTTAAAAAATAATAACCTTGATCCTTGATTTTAAAGATCTTCTCAAGATACATCTTCTTTCCTTGTAATAAAACAACTTTTATCTGAAATATTTTTATCTTAAACTTAATTTTGAGATATTCTACTGAATGGACCAAACTGAGGCACTACATATGTAGGTGTTCTCATCCGCCATCTTGGTTCCATTTGATTGATAGGTTATAGTATATTAGTGACAAAGGTAAATGTTAAGAAAAGCAAATTTTGACAAAAATATCACCATAAAGTCGAATTAGAAAATCTGTCAACAGTAGCTCATATAGTTTAAAAATATAAATTCTCTGCTAAAGTAGTGAATTTATATTTTAAAACCAGTGAACCACTATTATGACAGATTTTTGTAGTTGTCGACTTTAAGAATTAATATATCTTGGTTTAGCGGAGCAGAGCGACTTTTTCTCATCAAACCTTCATTTTTACACGAAAACGCATCGATTCGGTAGATTTCTATAATATCAAAATTTGAGGTGAGCAGTCTCTTTTTAATTAACATTTACTTTTGTTATTAATCATATTATAACGTATTTAATCATATTATAACGTGAATCAATCAAGTGGAAACCAAAATGGAGGATAAGAATACTTACATATGTAGTGTTTTAATCAAATTGTACCTACATGTGCGCGCGCGCACATAATCCCACTCACACCCACACCCATCCGCGTGCACATGCACGCATACACCGCATATATTACACATATAGAAGCGTAAATTCGATCGTGCAACTTCTATACAATGTGAGATAGGTCTTCTATGAAAAAAGTTAAGTAAACATTGTTATGTCCAAACTTCGAACACAAAAAAATTAAGATCATAATGAGCTTAATATTTCTCGCTAGGAGGATATATCAAGCTGAATAATAATATCTCAATAATATTATCAATAATATAAATAATTTCAATTTAATCTTGAGTCAATTTAATTTTGAATTTAAATATCTCAGTTTAATTTTGAGCGCCTCATTTAGATAAAATTTACACATGAAAAGTTCTTTATTTTATTTTTAAAAAATCATAGATGCATCTCGAAGAGAAAATTCGACTTTTCTATTTACTTTCTACAGAATATTGAGCGCTATTCGTTTTCTATGAACAAGCAAAATAAAAAAATGCTTCTTGTTTCAATATTAATAACTTGATGAAAGAAAATCATACAATGCAAATTGAAGATAAAGAAAAACATTTACATGGCTCGATTTACATCGAAGTTAAAACATGTTATATCTACTGACGTTAGATGTCATGTAAATGCTATTTTACAATGAAATTATTATATCAATGTAATAATTTCGGGACGGATAAACTAATAAAAGATTCACTCTTTCAAAAACTGCTTTCATATACTATTTCTTCAATTCACACTATAGAATCTTATAAAATTCATAAAAAATTTTTAGATTATTTAATTTGATGGACCTCTAAATGTATTTATGTATTAGGTGTACAACTTTGCTTCCGCCGTTTTTTTTCCGAAATTCAAGGCTTTATTGTAAAAAATTGGTTATACATTTATGATTCAAAGTATTGTCCATCGCTGGTCACTACTTTCTTCCATCTTTCGGGTAGCGTCGAAAAAACTGGTCATCTTTTGAGGCTATCCACGAATCGATCCAATTTTTTACTTCTTCATAAGACCGGAAGTGCTGGTCAGCCAAGCCGTGTGCCATTAATCGAAATAAGTGATAGTCAGAGGAAGCAACGTCTGGAGAATACGGCGGGTGGGGTAGGACTTCCCATTTCAACGTTTCCAAGTATGTCTTGACCACTTTCACAACATGGGGTCGAGCATTGCTGCAAAATCACTTTATCGTGTCTCTCGTTGTATTGCGGTCGTTTGTCTTTCAATGCTCGGCTCAAACGCATCAATTGGGTTCGATACCGATTGCCTATGATTGTTTCAGTCAGTTTTAACAGTTCATAATACACTACGCCGAGCTGGTCCCACCAAATACAGAGCATGACCTTGGACGTCAAAATCACCGTTCTTGAAGCGTTGAAACCACTCACGTTCTTTCTAAGTAATAACGACCACCATAAGTATTTGAGAGCATTCGATGAGCCTCAGCCGCAGATTTCTTCATATTGAAGCAAAAAATTAAAACCTCCCGCAAATGACGAGAATTTGGCTCGTAAACTGACATTTTCAATCGAGAATAACTTTATGATGCAGACACAAATCGACTAATGTTTCTATGGGGTTATGTTGACAGATGCCCAAGTTTGTTGTATGACGTCTATGATCTATTTATTTTGACCACCACTTACCGCTAAAGCCATCTATAGGAAAACGGCGGAAGCAAAGTTGTACACCTAATATATTGTAGCTTTGAAAAAAATCAGTTAGATCATCTAAATTACCAATTTGAAAAGTAGAAATTCCAACCTTAAAAATGCTTTAATGCATAATTTTTAATTATCTCATTATGATCATTTTTTACAAAGTTACATTCTCGAAACGGGCTTATATTTGGAAGATAAAATAGGTAATTCTTTAATTTTTGTTGTGTAATGTAATAATTTATATATACTTACAATCCTATGGTACCAAGGAAAGGCATTGGATCAACTCCTCTAGCAGAACCTTTCTTATGTATATTGCGACATATAAATCTGTAAATTACAAAAATATAAATTATACATAAACAAAATATTATTACTTAATGATTACTCTTTTAAATTCATTTTTGAAACAATAAACAGAATCAAATGCATTCTAAGGAGGACAAAATCGCATAATGATTTAGAGAAGGACGAATCATCAGTGTCTCCATCGTAGTTCACAGTTCCTTTTATTCATTGATGGATAAATTAAAAAAATTTAATACAGATGACATCAAGATGTCTATAGTACGAACAAATTAAGAAAATACATTAAAGTACATAAAAATCCTCGACATTTTTCAAAAAATAATATTATCTATAAGATCGATTGTGTTGAATGTGATGCAACAAATGTAGGACATTGATAGAAAATTGAAAACAAGAATTAATGAACACAAAAATCACATTCGGAACACGTCCATCAGTGATAATTGAACATAGATTGCAACACGGACATACCTTTGATTGGAACAATATTAAAATTTTAGACGAAGAACCTTATTATAACGTTAAAAGTGTTTAATCTCCGAAATATTGAACATTAAAGAACAAAAAACAGTCTAAATCTATAAACAGATACCAAAGGTCTACATAAAGCTTACATCGTTAATAAACAAAATTTGACATCGCAATACCAAGATTATTTTATTATTCATCAGCGTTCGTCTGTTACCATAGTTACTATATACAGGGTGCATTACCAAAATCCGGACAAATTTCAATGTAAATTTTCCGCTATATTGTGCCAGAGATTGTTGTTGGCGAGAGAGCTTGAAATGCTTCTAAACAGTCATATTCTCAAAACGATCGCGATGTCGAAACCAAGTGCGGAGTATAATCGAAGAGCCGCGATCGAAATGCTGGGCGCTCAGCAACGGAAATAATTCGGTTCTTTGAATACCCGAGTCAATCATTTATGACGTTGTGACAAAATGTATGGCTTTAGAAGTAGTCCAACGAAGTATGCCAGCGAGGAAGAGTCACTCGAAAGAACGCGAGGACTCGCAGTTCTCATCCGTCGTTAAAAGGGCTCAAGCACTGATTTCAGATGATCCAGGGCAATTGCTGCAAAAATTAGCATCGATTGTTATATAAGCGAGCCAACGATTGCCGAAGAGGATCTTTAATAAAATCGTATACATTAAAAATACGAGATGCTCTCTGAGATTGCCAGGACAAACCGAGTTGCTCGCCTCCCAACAGCCTAGATTTAAATCCCTTGGACTACTACGTATGGAGCGTAGTTACAAACAAGTCTCGCCATCCCAATGTGACGTCATTAGGGACCTATTGAGGCAGCATTCATCGGCATGGATAGCATTACATTACAGCGTGCAAACGCTTCAGACCGAGAATAGAGGCCATCATTCAAGCTAATGAGGGATACATCGAATAATTGTACTCTAAAGGGATCCCCCAAATACCATGTAAAAGGATTTTTTGTAATATTTAATTTTTCATTAAAAACATTTTGTTTAAAGAAATTGTTCGATTTGTTCGGATTTTGATGATGCACCCTGTATATATTTATCAAGTGTCTCATTTTTAATATCTTTTTATATTTATTTATCTATATACGTCTTTAATTTTATATTGACTAATTATTTTACTATAGACTGACACTTAGTAATTTAGAAATTGAGCATCTTTTCGACATTTTACTTTATGGCTAACTAGGTGAGTTGTTTTGACTAGAGTGACGATTTTACTCCAATTTTTTATTTTTTATTCTCTTAATTTATTTCCAACTTGACTTGTTATCAGACCGAAAAATTTCAAACAACTGGTCATCCAGCCGTTTGCGAATAATTTCCGTTTCTCAACAAAGTATCTCACTGGTCATCACTATGTGTATAATTTTCTGTCTATCTATTCGACTACTCTCATCCAATGTAATTAGATCCTCCTGTATGCATATTTGAAGAAGACTCAATCATGAGACCGAAACATGTTACATTTTTAATTAATTATAAAATATTATATTATACATACTTTCTTTTGATTTTTCATATTTTAAAATACTTCTTTATATTTTTTTGCCCTTTATTCTCTCGTTATTGTACAGAAATACAATACATATATTAGTAGAACAGATATATTAGTAGATATACCAGGTACTAGTAGAACATGCGAAAATCATATAAAATTAATTTAACATGTCTGCAGATAATCTGAGCTTCGGTTATATATATAGACCTAATTATATAGAACACTGTTATATTTTACGTGTGGAATCGACATCATATAACAGCACTCCTAGAAAGATCAATTCAACACTTTCCGTTATAATATTAATGATTTTAATAATTAAGAATGATCATTAATAGATTCTTTGAGATTCAACGTATATCATGTAAATGTATAAAAGATTTAGGAGTCAGCGCGGGAGATCGAGCAAGTTTCTTATAATACAATAATAAACTTTAATTGAATTCGTCGCTAATCACAATACGTTTGTTTCGACTCATATTCGAGTCATCTTCAGCGTAAAATAATCCACATATTAAATTCAAGCTTAAACTAAATCATTGTTGTTGCTGCAATTAATATAAAGAAGACAATCTAAAAATGATCAATATTGGCTCTGAACAAATTCCTTTAAAATCTGCGCAGTTGTCATTTTAAAAGTACATTCATGGAAAAAAGCTTATTTACCTAGGAAAGCTTGAGAAATCTTCCAAAAATGATAAAATAAGTCGTTTAAACGCTCTGCAAAGAAACTCTATTCTAATGAACGATTTCGAAATTAATGTATGTTTACATTTACCACACGTTGGATTATAAAATACTATAAAAATACTACATAACCAGGAAGATCTACAAATATATATACAGGATGTATTAAAGTCCGACAATGGTCAAATATCTTGAAAACAAAGCATTTTAAAAAAAAATTTTTAGATAGATTGTAGGGTTTAAAAAGTAAAATTTATACTATTACATTCGTTTGACTTTGGATGGCGTCGCCAAGGTCAAGTAAAGGTCAAATTGATTTTTTTTATGAAACATCTTATTTTTGGTTCCAGAATTTATTAACTGGCATCGAAAACTTTTCAAAACACTACAATAAAGTTCATTTTTCATTAAGTACTTTTCGAGTTATGAAACGTAAAAATGAATTTTTAGTACAAAAATGAAAATAAGAATAACAATGATCTTCAAATCAAGGGCATGAATAACATTCAGAATTAGTTAGATATCTTGGTCCAGCAAACGAGAATGGAATTGAAATAGATTCAGATCAGAAATATTGATTCACGAATGTTAAAATGAATGCTTTTCAATCCTGAATGCATTTTTATAAGAATTGAATGGAACATATTTTTATGCCTTTCAATCTAAAAATAATATTATTTTTTTCTGTGCATTATGAATACTGTTCAATTCAAAATTTTGAATAGGAAATGCAGTTTTCCAATTGCATCCAATTGAATCTAATTGAATCCGATTGAATCCAATTAAATCCAAAAAAAGTATTCGCTATTTAAAATAGGCATTCGGATAGAAAAACATTTCAATCCATTTTAATCTATTTTCATTTATTGGGGAGTAATGCTAACATGGGTGGTACAGTAATTCTCGCAACACCAACAATTACATAGAATTAAAAATATTTCATTAAAACAATCAATTTTGCCACCCAAGATTAAAGGTGATCAATAAATGTGATCAATAATTAGATCTTTTTAAACCTTACACTTTCTGAAACATTTTTCTTAAAAATGCTTTGTTTTCGAGATATTGTGGATTTTTTGATAAACCCTCCCAGCAAACATCAAATACAATATAACGTGGAAGTAACAAACAATGTAACACGTGTTGCACTCATATTATAATTATATAATTATATATATATATATATAATTTTAT